ATTATGACCACCATAATATAAATAGTTATTTAGTTTAATAAAATACTTTTCAAAAACTAATCTGGACAGTCTGTCAAATAGGATGTGATGATGAGTAAAACATTGAAGCTGGAAGACATCTCAAACGAGGAAACAGCAAGTGAATTATTTTAGGAAATGTATTTGCTCTTTAGTTGTGATGTGGTGGCTCTTAAAAGAGCCTTTGTGTTTGTCACTCATGTAAATGTAACCATGATGTCTAATCCACAGTCGCCTACATTTGTTCATTATATGACGGTTTCTGTAGTTATATGTATAAAGTACAAGTATTAAACTGTCTGAATTATTAATAGATTTGGTGGCGGAGCATTTATTGAATTTGTAGATTGTGTTTGTCGACTCGCATGGTCTTACGGAAAGTTTCTAACCTACTAAACTTATAAGAATTTGCTGTTTAGTTGTGATGTGGTGGCTCTTAAAAGAGCCTTTGTGTTTGTTGAGGTCAGTATTGGATCTCTACTTCTTGGCAGCCTTCTCGGTCTTCTTGGGCAGGAGAACAGCCTGGATGTTGGGCAGCACTCCTCCCTGAGCGATGGTGACTCCTCCGAGCAGCTTGTTGAGCTCCTCGTCGTTGCGGACAGCCAGCTGCAGGTGACGGGGGATGATACGGGTCTTCTTGTTGTCACGGGCAGCGTTCCCGGCCAACTCCAGGATCTCAGCGGTCAGGTACTCGAGCACAGCCGCCAGGTAGACGGGGGCTCCGGCACCAACACGCTGGGCATAGTTTCCTTTACGCAGCAGCCTGTGAACACGACCGACTGGGAACTGGAGCCCGGCACGGGAGGAGCGAGTCTTTGCCTTTGCTCTGGCTTTTCCGCCGGTTTTGCCTCTTCCTGACATGGTGTAGGTTAATCTCTAGAGTCGGTACTAGAAGAAAAGTGCTCTAGGCGGACATGCCCTCTATTATATGTCCGCGTAGCGCGCGCGCGTTTTCATGCCCCTCCAACCAGTAAAGAGGCTTCGAGCAGCGCAGAGGAGGGCGGCCCCACTCGCAGCTTCACTCCGAGATTTGAAAAACGTTTCTCCAATGAGCAGCGCTGATCGAGGAAGGGGCTCGCTCCCCCCGGCGGGACTGAGCTCCAGACGCGGCTTTGTCACCAATCAGAGGCTAGAGGTCTGAAGCAGCGTCACCGGTCGGTATCCGCTAACTCGGTTTAAAAGCAGCTCGTCTCCGGTCTCCGACACATTTTTCTTCTTATTAGGGAATCTTAAACCATGGCAAGAACTAAGCAGACCGCTCGTAAGTCCACAGGAGGCAAAGCCCCCAGGAAGCAGCTGGCCACCAAGGCTGCCCGTAAGAGCGCCCCGGCCACCGGCGGCGTCAAGAAGCCCCATCGTTACAGGCCCGGTACCGTGGCTCTCAGAGAGATCCGTCGTTACCAGAAATCCACCGAGCTGCTCATCCGCAAGCTGCCCTTCCAGCGTCTGGTCCGTGAGATCGCTCAGGACTTCAAGACCGACCTGCGCTTCCAGAGCTCCGCTGTCATGGCTCTGCAGGAGGCCAGCGAGGCTTACCTGGTCGGTCTCTTCGAGGACACCAACCTCTGCGCCATCCACGCCAAGAGGGTCACCATCATGCCCAAAGACATCCAGCTGGCCAGAAGGATCCGCGGAGAGAGAGCTTAATCTGTCTACTGCTCCAAAACAACCACAACGGCTCTTTTAAGAGCCACCACATTTTACTCAAGACATATTCCTGTACTGTCTTTAATGTATAGAGATGATCAGTTTATTATTTCATTCTATTCCCATGTTGTTAACTATTTCTGTCTGACAGTACTGCAACCTCAATAATATTACAATGTAGTCATAGATCATGTATATAGAAAACATAGATGTAGAGCACAGACATACTACAAAGTTATCAACATAACACACACTACATGTATGTTATTTTTAATTTGTTATCCACTTCGAGGAGTTATTCAAATTAATTACCAGAGTTTGTCAGTTAGATAAACAGTACACATTTATATTTAGTATGTATTATCTCATAAAGAGACATTGTCAATATTTAATCTCATGTTTCTTGACATGTGCAGATTTCTAGAATCATCGTTCAGCTAAAAGAACTTCAGTAAATCACCAGCACACACTATGAACTCAGGAATCACTTCATTATAGACTTTTTAAATTTTTTTACATTAAATAATTGAGTCCCATAAAAACATTGAAGTTGACACCATTACTTCTACAGGCCTTTAAGTTTGGATCACAAACGGGTTCACTGACGACCACTTGGAATAAATATAAGTGATTCATAAAGATGGTTAAGATGCTACAGGATGCTCCTCATACAGATCCATATCATTTTACTGATGATAAAATACTAACTTTAGTTATAGCCTGTAGATTAAAGGATACTGTACCTGATATTATAAACAATGATGAATGCAGGTTAAGATCCACCACATTAGTTTAATTATCTTTAAAGAAGCACTATGGGAACAAGTAATGACCTCTAAAGACACAGTTCTCTGAACCACCACAGACACATCAAAGAGTCTCATATGTAAACTATATTATCAATATGTGTGTCTTTATATACACACACACACACACACACACACACACACACACACACACACACACACACACACACACACACACACACACACACACACACACACACACACACACACACACACACACACACACACACACACACAATCCATGCACATGATAAAAAAGTCTTGTTATAAAAAGTGATTGATGGACTGAGGAAACACACAAGAAGATAATAAAACACTAAAAGATAAAAGAACAAGATGATCTTTAAATCAACTAAACAGACTCAGATATAAAATATATGTTTAATCAAAACTACTTCAAAGTTAGATACTATATTTAATATATATTCAGTAAAAAGCCAGAATAAAAAGGTCTTCAGTTTGCTTTTATAAATATCAACATGAAGCCGTGGAGATGAAATGATAAAGATAATTATCAGGATATAAACATTGTGTGTTGACCTCAGGTCTTCAGGTAAACTCATCCATCATCTGGGCCTCACTTTAACTTTTCCTGTTGAACTTTACACTGTAAGGGAATTTTGAAACTTG